TCCTTTTATTCATATCATGGTAACACCTAACTACGGCGGAGCGCTTGTTCAAAATTCACCAAACGGTCCGTTAGTTCCAGACACGCACGACGCTAATATTTTAAGTGTTGATTTAGATGTTTATGTTAATAATTTATTACCAATTTTAGAAAGTGTAAAAACATCTAAAATGAAACACATTGTTCCATGGCAAATTGCCTTTTTTTTATTAAAAATAATAAGCAACACAAACACAATAAAGTCTGAAGGTAACATTTATAATATAGAAACTGATCTTAACGAAATTCCAATCCAAATTAACGCTTTATGGAAAATTTGGAACGATCAAGTTAACGTTAAAGACGCTAACAACAACTATACAGAAGAAAAAATGTCATTAACGGGTTTTGTAGACATTTTGAAAAACGCTTTTGGTTTTATTAGTACTAAACTTCTCTACATCTCTTCATCGGCTATAGGTATAGAACCAACAGAATTGTTTGCTTGCTTTTATCAAAGTTTTTTTCCAAAACCAAGTCGAAGAAAATATTATCGATTTACTTTACAAAACATACCGCTAGCTTCTTTACGTATACCTTTTTTTAACGTCGATCAAATCATATGGCCTGAACGCGAATTAAAAGAGATGGATATTTTTACTGAAAGTATAAACTTCAAATTGCCAAACAGTTTACTTAATTTAAATTTAAATAATCTTCCTTTTAACGAATTTATTTATGAAGGTACTAATATCTACTTTTATCAGAAATTCCTCAATCAATACAATTTTTCATCCATTCCTAACGACTATTATGGAAATTATTATACTTTTCGGTGTTTACCTTCGTTTAAACGAAATACATACGAAATCAATTTAAAATCACCGATACAAATTTTTAAAGCTATAATCACTTCAAATGCTACACGTAACAATTATTTTGAAATAAAAGGAAACCCAATTTCTCTTTACCATGCTCAATTTGGTTCACCTATTACGTTTACTACATCTCCTTCAAATTTACCTGAAGACATTTATAAAATAATATTGTCAGATTTATCTATGATTGCAAAATACAACGCAGAAACTTTTATTAAAGTTTTAATTTATTGTGAACAAACCAAATTTATTTTTTTGCTAACTTTAAAAATACCTCTAGTAACTACGGCTGCTTTTGAAAGAGCTACTTCATCGAGTTATAAAACGTGGTTAAACGGATCAAAAGCCATATTGCAAAACAACAACATTAACGATTTAGTATTTTATTGTACTTCGCTTAACGGACAACTTATTTATCAAAAAAAGAGCGACGGAAGCATTGTAAACACTTGGCCTGACAGTTTACCTTTGAAAAATATTATTTTAAAAATGTATCAACCTATCGGAAACAATCCTATACCTTATACTTTGCTTTTGCAAAGAGATCAATATAGTTTAAATAACGAAAGCAATCCGTTTACCATAGAAGTAGATCAAAACATGGTTAATACCATGACACAAGATTTTAGAATTTAAAAGAAAAAAATTGCTTTTTTAAGATGCACTTTAATGCAAATAAGTAATTTTAATAATACCGTTTCTAATTTACCTACTCCTACAGACACTCTTATTTTTATTAAATGTGATCAAAGCAACAAATTGTGGAATGTTTATGGACAGAAGATACGAACCCGGAATCGTTTCGTATTTTAAATTTTCTGATTATAATAATAGCACACAAGTATCAGTCAATATCGATTTTACTAAAAATCGCAAAACAGAAATACAAGGACAATTGACAACTTTTGATATTAACGACGTTGAAGATTGGAAAAAAACAAAATGGACTTTTTTTAACATAAAAAAAGAAGCACTTCAGTTTAGCAACTTAAGTAGTACTGTTTTTTTTAATCCTACTTTAAAAATTCAAATGATACCTTTTCACAATTGACAAAAAAAAATAAAGAAAATGAACCTTTTATACTCTGTAAAACAAAATGAGTCATTTTGTTAATTAGAAAAATTGTTATAAAAAGATGTGTTTTATTTTTTTTTTTTAAATTATAAAGAAAAAAAATGTCTCTTTTTTGCGCCAAAGGTAGATACGAAAGAAATTTAGTTAACGAATTAATACCGAAAAATTTAAAAAACTCGCAAAAAATACAGTTGAACGATATTCAAAATAAATTTTATCATCTTCAAAATCAACTGACACATTTTCCTACCAAATCAGAAGTTCTTAACATTAAATCTGAATTGGACGAAAAATGCGAACAATTAAAAAAATTAAAACAACATAAAGAACAAGACAATTACGAAGAAAAACAACAACGAAAAAAGAAAATTGTTAAAAAAAGTGAAATCGAAAAACCAAGACGTAAAAGAGTAAACTATACAGAAGAAGAAACCGAGAGTTCTCAAGAAGAGGAAGAAGAAGAACGGGTTGAAAAAAAACCAACAAAACCTAAAGTTTCGTTGACTTCGCACGTTTGTTCTCAATGTTTTCAAGAAGTAAAAGCCGTAGACGCTATTCACGGATTATGCAGAAGTTGCATTATTCAACAAAGAGCTATTTTATCCAGTCCTTTCATGCAAAATAACATTGAAAAAAAAAGCAAAAAAGATAAAATAAATAAAAAAAGTTTAATTGAACTTGGTTACACGCGTGCTTTGAAAGACGTTAAAAACAAAAAAATACCTTTTAAAAAAAATACTTCCGACTCTGACGATGAATAAATTGAAAAAATTATTTATAAAAACTTTAATTTTTTTTAAAAAGAAAGAAAGAAAGAAAAAATTATTTCACGATGGGTTCTTTGGCAAAATATATGAGAGCGGGTGACGGTAACCGTTATACACCCAATAATAATGGACCCGTTACTATAGACAATGTTTTAAAAAACGCAGAAGACGAAAATCGTCTGTTGGACGAAGCAACGAGTGGTAACCTTAGCGCAGAAATGAGCGAAGCTTTAAACGAAAAATATCCTGGTTTTATGACAGCTTTACCTCAAGACGAAGTCATTTCGGTTAATTATCAAAAATTAACGCCCGATTTAACTTCAGACATGTCGACCTTGATTACGTTTACTAATACGTTAAACGAATGGACAATACCTCAAGATTATATTTTAGAATTTGATTTGGGTCTTTATAAAACGTTAAATCCACCAACAAAATTTACCACTACTGCAGGCAATACAGATATAGTCTTGATGTCAAAAATTGCTTTAGTAGAGGGTATTATTTTTTACTTGTTTAAAAGCATAAAAGTCTTTCCCAATTATCAAAAAAATAACACTACACCTGCCAACAACGTTGTATACAATCGATCATACGATTGATTCAAACAAATGTTTATTAAAAAAAGCTATTTGAAAAGATTTAGAGAAGAAAATCTTAACAGAAATTTTGGTTTAACTGAAACTCTAGTGAATGGAGCAACCTGGGACGAAACAAGAGCCCTTATGACAACAAATGATAACGCAGCAAATATAAGACTTATGAGTAAAGTTGACGGATTTGCCGAATATCAAAACGTTATGAGAACTACTTATAACAGTAAAATGAACGAAAAAAGAGGTTTTCGATTTAGAGTTCCGTTGTGTTTGTTGTGCGAATTTTTTCAAATTAAAAGTTATTACGGAAAAGGTAAGCAGCTCAGACTCGAGTTCAATATCGAAACCGACATGGATCAACTTTTAGAATTTGTAAGACATGTTAGCGATGCCGACCAGACCGCTTTGGCTAACGTGGGTATTCAAATCAAAAATCCTGTTCTTTGGTTCAACACTTATAGAATCAAAGCTAGTTTGCCTTTAGAAAAATCTTTGTACATTAACAGTCACAAAGACGTACCTTATACTATACTTCGAGTTGCTCATTACGAGCAAGTCATTACCAACGTCGAAAACACAAACACGGTTACCGTTAATTTAGGTAACATAAAAACGGCAGACCTTGTACCTCATTGTATTTTGTTTTCATTACAAGCTAAAAAAGAAATGGATCACCTCACTAAAGCCAGCATGACTCCGGCCGAAATGGCTTGCACAATGATAACTAAAATTACATTTTACAATTTTAGAAGAACGTTTGTCAATTCGCCTGGCGACACTTATGAAATAGATTTGCAAAACAAAGTAGAAGATCAACAGCTTTGTTATCGCGGTTACATTTCTTTGTGTAAAGGTAACACGCCGTCTACTTTAAACATTAATAATTTTGCAGAGTTTTATACCGCAGACGATGAGACTTTTATTAAAAATTCAGACACTTATTTTAGTAAAACGGGTAATTTAACAGATTCTTTAGCAATAGACACAACAAGCGATTACAATTTTATTAACGACAAACCTCCAGCTACCATTGCCGGTAACAACTCTTTTCAAATTGTCGTCAATTTCACAGAACCTATTAGATCTGTACTCACTATATATTTACAATACGGAGCGCAGCTGATTCAAACCGGAACAGGAGAAGACGAAAATTATACATATTATCCTGCTAAATTTAAATCATCTTAACTCGTTATACAACGTTTTTATTTTGGTAAAATTGACCATGTTTGAATTGTATTTTTTTATGCATGTACGACTTTTTAATAGAAATAAAATTTAAAAAAAACATTATATTTGTTATTATTTAAAAAAAAACTATATGGCGCGAAAACGTTGCAGTAGTTGTAGAAAAAAAAGAGGTAAAGGTCATAGACGTAGATATCATCGAGGAAAAGGCAGAATATTTACTAAAGTAAAAAATATAGCTAGACGTTTACTTCGATCTGACTTAGGAGGTTACGCGCTCGATTATCTTCCAAAAACAACGCAATGTCTAGAAGACATCATAGCAGACATCACTGTAGACATCAAGGAAAAGGAAGAGTCTATTTACCTCCTTTAAAAGGAGCCGGTAGAAGAAAGCGAATGCGCGGTAAATTTCTTCTGATATTAGGCGCTTTATTGGCTGGTGGTTTATTACCTTCTCTAATACCTCGCTAACAAATTTATTTTTACAAAATGCGCAAAAGACTAATAAGAAAAAGTCATAAAAGACGTTTAAAAAGACGAATACGTGGTAAAGGATTAGGAGCTTTAGATTTAGCTGCAGGATTAACTGGTATATTAGCAGGAATACCATCATTGGTAACACTACAAGGAGCTAGTAAATTCTTATAAAAAAAATGAACATAAAACTAAATAAAAAAAAACGCACAAAAAGACGCTACAAAAGACGTAATAAAAGACGAATGCGAGGAAAATTTATCGGAGCGATAGGAGCAATAGCTTCAAGACTTTTACCAAGACTTTTACCCGTAATAGGAAGAGCTGTTTTAGGAGGTGCAGTTTCGGAAGGAATATCTTATGGAATAAATCAAATTGGAAAAGAAAATTTTTTTTTGTATCATTCTAATTTATTAAAAATTGTATTACAACCGTAAACTTTTTCGTGATTTAAATTAAATTTTTCGTATCCCTTATAATAATTGATAAAATTTTCCAACCGTTTTAATAACACGACTAATTGTTTGTTACGTGTGTCAAACCTCCATTTTATAAACGATTTTAAAATTGAATTCTTTTCTTTGTATCCCGGAGTATCGATTACAACGTTATAAAAATATTTTCTTCTTATACATGACAATACAAAACATATTTTATAAAGTTCTTCGTTTGATATTTCTGTAACGCAATCTAATTTGCCCATCATATCTTTGATTGATTTATATTTTCTTTTCTCTGGATTATTTAAAACATCTTTACATGTCTTTTTTATTTCTTTCAAGTTCATTCTTTTTCGATAGAAAAATAAAATAAAAGAAAACGAAAGCAAATTACAAATACATAACAAATTAAACAATATATTCCGCGTATTATCCAAGGTAGCAAGAATGCATAAATTTTACAACCAATACAATCAATAAAATTAAAGGAAACGTGCAAATCCGGAATAACAACTTTAAAAAGCTTCCAAATAAGTTTAAAAAATTACAAAATTTATTCGTTATATACTTCCACATTAAATTTAAATTATCTTTATATGACTTTTTTATTTCTTTCAAGTTCATTCTCTTTTTACTTTTTGTTTATGTTTTTCAATAGCATCGACTGCAAAACATAGCCAAACTGCAAAAAAATAATAAATTAAACAGTATACTCCTCCTATGATCCAAGGTATCACAAATTGTATAAATCCAGCAACAAGTACAACCAATAACATTAAAGGAATTGTGCAAATCTCTATTAACAACTTTAAAAAATTACAAAATTTATTCATTATACACTTCCACTGTAGTGACAAATTTTAGGAGGTTTTTCAGGTTCTGGCTTATACGGTTTTACAATAGCTACTAACGGTGTCGAGTTTTGAAATTGTTGTAATGGTTTGTTTTTTTCCATTTACTAAACAAAACAAAAATTCAAACTTTATCTACTCGTTGTCGCGCTTGATTAAACATATTAACATTTTTTTCAAGGATTAACATTTTTAAACAAATATCTTTTTTAAGGATTAACATTTCTTTTAAGGAATTAAGTTGCTAGTTGGTTGAATGATTGAAAACTCTGAAAATACTAGAAGGTATGATCATCAGGCCATCATAAAACAGAAACTAAAATTAAATGGAAAAACAGTAAAACCAGCTACAGATTTGAAGAAAAAATGGGATTACGCTGCTAAAACTTACAAAAATCACTCTGTTTAAACTTATGGGAGGCATCAAAAAGAAAGTCAGAATTTTTTGAAAAAATAATTTTTTTTTTTGTTTTTTCACTATTAAAATGTAATCTTTACAGTCTTAATTTTTCAGAAATATATTGATTTAAATACATTTAAGCTTTCTTACCTCTTTTTTTAATCAAGAAAGGTGGGCAGATTTTTTCGATAGCATGCCTTAAGTTAAATGTAAAGAGTAAATATAAGTATGATAAGTACGAATTCTAATGCAACTTATATAAAAAAGTGTTGAAACAAACCTGTTTCCTTCATAACTTGATCTTTAATAAGCCACTTGCTTCCGTGCATACTCAAAAGACGACAAACATCTTCTTTTTCATCGAAATTTAATTATCTTCTTTTTGGCAAATTGTTAAATAATTCCTACAAGTTGAAAAATTGTAAAATATCTAAAATATAAACTGTTTGTACCCTAATCATTTAGTAATTTAAAAAATGATACACAGTGAACACACACACAAAATTCAAGAGAAAATATATTTTAGGTAAAAGTCAAATTTAATAGCCAAACTTTATAAAACATTTTAAAGCGCTGATTTTATATATATTTATATATATAAATATATATATATATATATATATATATATATATATATATATATATATTATATATATATATATATATATATATATATATATATATATATATATATATATATATATATATATATATTATTTTATCGTCGCGTCCATTTATTTTAATAACGTTTATAATCTATAGCTTTATATATTCTTTCTCCCATCCTATACAAAAATCTTTTCTATATATATATTAAATTAAAAAGTCCCATGAGAATATACTGTTAATTACAGTTGAAATAACTTACGTAGATGCGTGACTTTCAACACGCATCTACGTGATTTCTAACACGTACAATTCACCAACATAATAATAGAACATGCACTCTTGGTGAATTAACTCATAAGTCTAATCTTTGTGGGGGCTTTACTGTTCGTCCGGAGCGTGTTACTTGCAGCGCGTTGAGTTCTTGAGAATCATTTTGAACTTGAGCGACATCATCATCATAACTTCCTTTAACGTTATCAGTTTTATCGTTTAGTCTATAAAAAACATCGTTGACTGATTCATTTGAACTCTGTACGTCTGTACGGCGACGCAGGTGTGAAATGTGACGCGGATATACCCGATTCGCAGTTTCCACGTCAAACGACAAAGTATTTTGCTTTCGTACTACGCCTGGTATCCACGGCTGGTCACATTTTGTTTCTTGAGTTGGTTTTACCCAAACATTGTCACCCACTTTGAATTTCTCGCTTACGCTTTTCTCGTCTACCTTCCTCCGAGTATCGACGCCTGGGATGAAACATGTCGATCTTTTCTTGAATTGCTGGGATGGACTTTCAGTACAATTTGATGATATTGTCTCGTTGTACAGCAAGACTGCCAGAGCGATTGAACAATGTGAGCGAACGACCGTTCTTTTTATCGTTCTGTGTATACGTTCAACTATACCATTACCTTGAGCTCGATGTGCTGCTCGATATTCCAAATTAACATGCCATTCTTCAGCAAAACTTGTTAACGTGTTGGACCGAAATTCGTTGTCTATTAGAAGACATACTGGCGGACCAACTAAAGAGAATATTTCTTCGAGTCTACCAACAACTTCAGCAGCTGCTTTAGTTGCAAGTTTACGCCATATTGTATACCGTGATGGACCACAGTCAATAATTGATAAGTACAGTTCAGCATCTACATGCGTCACGTCAATGGCAACCCAATTCCAATTTTTTTCTACGCTTAGTTGGCCATTCCTCCACTTTACGGAGTAAGGATCAATGGAGTTACACTGGTTACAATTCGCAATTACTGCTGAAACCTCCTTACGTGATACATTCTTATTATTTCGCAAGAAAAGTTGTAATGTTCGAGCAACACCAAAATGACCAATTGAATGAATTTTCCATATGTCTTTTTGTTCAAGTAATCCAGCTGCACACACTGTTCTGCACCATTTTTGAGGGATTCGTGAGAGTCGATCAGCCAAATTTATCTCAGATGGAATCCATTGTACTGCGATCTGAATATCTTTTGCCACTTCCTTAATAGTATTCAATCGTCTTTGTACTAACAATTGAGAAATTCCCCGAGTTTTCACGCGATATTCTTCCTTCAAAACTGCGTTTAACCATCCTACGGTGCTCTTGCTATCACTGTATACTGTTAACTCTTTTATGCCTCACTTACTAGCTAAGTTTAGTCCTCGAAGTATAGAATCCAGTTCACTTATATTGATATGGTGTGTGTCACTCGCTGGCCGTAGCCATGCTGCGTCTTCAACAACTACTCCACCAATGAGCAGAACTACCCTAAGTCCTACAGATGATGCATCACAATAAAGCTCAGCTTTTCCATTAACTGGTACCAGCCATTTTCCACCAACCGGATCCTCTTTTTCCACACGGTAAAGCAACTCTTTCAGTTTTTCTTTACAATCTTCAGAAATAAAATCACACCAAGGTATATTTCCAGCTAAACGTTTGATGTATGAAGCTTGTAAACGCAAACTTCCTGCCACTGGGTAATTTCCAATAAGTTTGCCTAACTGGCTGAAAAGCTGTGATCGTGTGACTGCATTTAAAGATTCGAATTGTACCACATTGTCTCGTTTCCATATCAGTTCCCTGTTTTTATTTCTTTCGACTCTCAATCCTAAGACACGTCCTTGTTCAAGATCTTGTGGAGGTTTACATTGTAATCCGAATTTAAGCAGATGCTTTGCTACATTTTTCGCAGTTTCAACACTTTCGTCCACAAATATATCATCAATGTAGTTATCACATGCTTTCTTTACGGTTGAATTTAAATTGAGCACATGCCGAAGAATTGTGGTCATTATTGTTGGAACCACATTGATGCTAAAACGCATTCTGGTAAAACAATACCGTTGCCTATTTATAATCACCGTTTGATATGGCCAAAGTTTTTTATCAGTATGAATTTGGAGGTAGGCTTGTTTAAGATCGAGAATTTTTGCATTTTTTATTTTTCTCCAGCAACGCAGTTTTTCTTGACAAACGTCCGCATTTGCCGTATGACAATTAACAAATTCGTTGAGAGCTCGGAAATATATATATATATATATATATATATATATATATATATATATATATATATATATATATATATATATATATATATATATAAATATATATATATATATATATATGTATATATATATATATATATATATATATATATATATATGTATATATATATATATATATATATATATATATATGTATATATATATATATATATATATATATATATATATATATATATATATATATATATATATGTATATATATATATATTTATTTATATATATATATATATATATATATTTATATATACATATATATATATATATATATATATATATATATATATATATATATATATATATATATATATATATATATATATATTATATATATATATATATATATATATATATATATATATATATATATATATATATATATATATATATATATATATATATATATATATATATATATATATATATATATATATATATATATATATATATATATATATATATATATATATATATATATATAATCTTTGAATGTTATTTTCTTGTTATACGTTAAAATATGGTTAGAATTCAATAAATACAGCTGCGTATAAACTTTTTAAAAATATATATATATTTTTTTTTTCTCTAATATATAATTATTTCGTTATTTCGCTGATCTATTGTGATCAGCGTCATCAGGTTTAATAAACAAAATAGTTACAAAATCGTTATAGTAAAAACAAACCGTTAAAAAGATAACATTAAGAAGCCATAATATAATTCAGAAAAAAAAATTTTTTTTCTAACAACTGACGTCACCAGATTTTATTAAAAAATGAAGATTGTAGAGCAAGATAACCATTGACAGACGACTTAAAAGATTGCAAATTATATGAATCAGGAAAGCAAGATGAAGGAAGCGAATTCCAAAGAACTGATGTTCGAGCAAAAAAACTACACGAATGAGAGTTTTAGGTTTTTAGCACTTAGGAACAGTAACAAAAAAAGGATGAGACTTAATTGAATGACGAGTAACACGTGAATGAATTTTAGTAGATGGCACAAGAGACGCTAGCTCTTTAGAGCAGTGCCCATAATAGTATTTGTGGAAAAGAGAAAAAGTAGCAACATTACGACGATGTGACAGAGGTTGAAGGTTGGCTGCAAGAGCAGGTCCAACTGTTTACAACGCGTTTTTGCACCTTGTGTAAAAGAGAAAGGGCATCATTAGAAGATCCGCCCCAGATATGGCAACAGTATTCCATTTAAGGCCGGATTTGAGATTTATAAAGATATAGAATAGAATCCAGAGTAAGAAAGTGACGAGCTCGATAAAGAGAAGCAACTTTAGTAGATGCTAATTTTGCAATGGATTTGATATAAGATTTCTAAGAAAGATAAGAAGTAAGAGTTAATCCTAGAAGATGAAGGGTAGGAGACTCATCAAGTTCATTACTATTCATAAATATAGGAAGGTCTAAATTATTGCAATAACGATTGGCCGAAAAAAATTTAGTTTTATTTAAATTAAAGTTCACCAGCCACAGTGAGTCCCCTTCTTTATTAGAAGTGAGATCCTTTTCAAGCTCAGATGGTCCCTGCAAGCAATAAGAGGAAGTTGGCTTCTTATTGTGACAAGAATAAATGATAGCATCATCAGCGAACAATGCCACCTAAGATGTGAGAATATCTGGAAGCTCGTTAATGTAAATTAAAAAGAGTGTAGGGCCAAGGATTGAACCTTTGGGAACCCCTCAGGTTACAGAATAAGAAGGAAAGTGCTGTCCATCAAGGAAAACTTTTATTTTACGATTGGAAAGAAAGGATTCAATAATCATAAAGATGTTTCCAGATACACCGTAAGAAGAAAGCTTATGGAGGAGACCAGCATGCCAAACTTTATCAAACGATTTAGAAATGTCAAGAGCAATGGCCTTAACCTCTCCACATTTATCTAATGCCCAATAAAACCTATCGGTTATTACTGATAGCTAATCAGCCGTAGAACGAGAAGATCGTAATCAATTATGATGATCAGAAAGTAGGTTTAGAGATTCGAGATGAGAGATTATTTGTTTGCTAATTAAAGATTCAAAAACTTTGCTTATGATAGGAAAAAGACGAAAGGGACGGTAGTTAGATGAATAAGATCGCTCTTCAGAATTTTTTAAAATAAGAAAAACAGATGCTGCTTTCCAGCAGGCTGGAAAACAAGGTTCTGATAAGCACTTGTTAAGTAGTTTTGAAAGGATTGAGGACAGCTCCGGAGAACACTTCTGCAAGACTATAAAAGGTATGTTGTCCGGGCCGCAATCTGTAGAAAAGTCTAAGCGGGAAATCACTTTAGATGCAGAAGCTGGAGTAATACGAATGTCGAGAAATGGATCAATCTGTTTGGCGGCTATATCAGGTAGAACGCAACTAGTGGCATCAAGAGATGATATTGATGAAAAGTTCTTGGCAAACAATTCAGCAAAATCTTTAGATGAGGTGACAGTCTGAACCATACGAAAGAGGTGGAATTACAGACTTGCCTATATTATTGATACTATTAAAGATTCTCCAGAAGTCACGTGAGCCTAATTTTTGTGATAAAATAGGAAATATCATGATCTGAGAATAGCGGGTATTGATGAAAGACAAAACATTTTTACAATGGTTCCTGGCAATAATAAACAGACGTCTGTTTTCTGGAGAATTGTTTTACTGATAGATATAGAAGTAATGGATTCGATTGGCATTTGCAGCAGCACAATTTGAGGAAAACCATGAAGAACAGTAAGGCTTGTCCAGGAATCGTCGAGAGGGAAAAAAGGATTCCATGCCACCCTGAATTGACGAAGTTATGTAAGAAGCACATTTGTCAACAGGGAGACGAAAGATTTCTACCCAGGAGCCACCACCAAGAAAATCACGGAACGAGCCCCAGTCAGCTTTAAGGTATTTGTAAGATGTACGATGATAGGGGAACTCTGATGGTAAAGAAGAATGAGATAATAGTTTTGGAGAGACCAAACCATGATCAGACGCACCTAATAGTGAGTGTAAAGAAACTGAGCACTGACAAGTATCAGAAACAAGACATAAGTCGAGTAGAGAAGGTAAATGATTCGGGTTTGATTGTCTGGAAAGCGATTTGGAAGTTGATTATTTGAGTTAGGGATTGAGAAAAACAAAAGTTGTAGGCCTTAATGCCTGCAGAGTCACTGACACTAGAGCCAAGCCATTCAGTGTGATGAACATTAAAGTCACCGACAACAACAATATTGGCTGATAAAGAATGGATAAAGAGACAGGGCTTGGTCAATATGATCAGAAATAACATCAAGAAGAGTGCAGTCTTGAGATGAGGGAGAGCAATATAGAACAAAGAGAAAGGTGATAGAGTGAAGTGGTGCTAAACGAAAGCACATAAAAGAGTAGTCTGTGGATTCAAACCTAGTTTTCCAACAAATGGGTGAATTCTTACGTATGTAAATGCCCAGGCCAAGCATGTGACTATTGGAGTCTTTACGAATTAAAGGAAGATAACCATCAACAATAAGATCACAAGATGAGACGGCTGAACTCAAATTAGTCTAAGAAAGAGCAAGTAGATCTGGTGAACTTTGCAAGAGGTAAGACTCAACAGAAGAAAAGTTACTTCGAAGACTACAAATATTGGCGAACGATAGGTTTAGCGAACTTGGTGATGACTGTGAGTTTTTGTGGTTTATAGTTTTTGTTACTTTATTCATTCAACTTTAAACATAAGTGTTTATATAATAGTTCTAAAGAATTATTAACACAAAAATAGTTAGGTCTGATGAAACTAATAAGTTTATAATGTTACTAAAAGTAACATTATAAACTTATTAGTTTTTAATTAAGTACTACCATTTCTTCCACTAAGTTATTTGCTTTTACATTAGGCACCTATCCAATTGTTTCGAAACTTAACTCACACTTACTCTAATATAACTTTGTCTTTGTTTCCCTTCCACTTTATGGCTATATGAGTTTCATAAAGTAACTGGACATCTAGTTGCAAAGTTATAAAAAAGTTTTGTTACATAAATCAAGAACAATATTTATTGGGTGTTCTAAACTGCCTCATTTTTTAAAAATGATCCACACAAAATTTACTGGTACGGTCTGATAGGTGATGAACAATCTGAAAATATAAATAAAAATTTTGACAAACAAAATTAGTTCACATTTTTAGACAATCTAATCGATAATTACCTAGGTCAAAGGTTCTTTGATTCCATAACGATGTAATTAATTACACATTAGCGGTTTGATATATTGAAAAAAAAGCGCTTAATGTAGTTAATCAATTAGTTTAGACGTCATCATCCTGTGAAACATGTCAATATTTGTTTAGACAAAATTATAAAAAAATATAAAATTTAACTTCTTAAAGTAAATAATTATTTAATTACAAGCATATGATAAATTATATATTTGTATGATTTTGAATGAATATTATTAATGTTAATTCTGAATAAATTATTATTTAAACAGTTATATTATTGAACTCAAAATAAAATAAAATTTATATATGTAAATGGTTACTAGAAATGGGTGCCATGTGCGCCCCTGAACCAAATATTTATTAAGTATACAGAGTATCTATACTTCTTTGGCTTCCCTGGCTTCACTTCATATCTGAAAATAAATAAAATTTATAAATATAAATGACTGCTGAAAACGAGCGTCACGGGCAGCCATAAATTATCTAGTGCCCAAATAATAATAAATGCGTGAAAAGAGTCTAAATACTATAAAATACAATATCTATTAGACTTTGAAATAGTAGTACAATACATCAATGTACTTAT